AGGAGAAAAATGCACCCCAGACTACAAGGAGAAGTAAAGCAAAGAGCACAGAACCAAGTGAGGATAATCTGGAAGGGAAGATGGAGAGAGGGTACCAGACCCTTAGGCAGGAGGAGACTAGAAAGAGAAGGATGTGTTCTCAGGAGTCCCCTCTTATATCTAGGCTGTAGGGGCCAAGGTGTACAGCTTAGATCTACCCTGACAGGACAGGTCTACAGAGCTGCTGGTCCAGCCCAGCTGTGCAGCCCCTCCCCTTCACTCCATCACTGACCTCTATCAAGGTCATATCTCATGATCCTTGTTACTCTCACTGAGCTCCCTGTAGAGCTCAGCACAGGGAAGAAAGGGGGCTGCAGGAGGCTTGGCTCTATGCCCCCCAGCTCTGGAATCCTGTGTTAATTCCCCTTCCTTTGGCCTCAGTTTCCCAACTTGTCACTGAGGGTCTGGAATTGGTGGAATATTCCATGGCCTCTCCCAGCTCTGGCTTCCTGTAGTCTGGGACTGGAAGAGTTTACATTCACCTCAGCCCTCTCTCACCCCTGCCATCTGGCTCTTCCTGACCTCACCTGTCACTACTCTCACCAAGCTCCTAGCCCCCTCTATTCCACCACATCCCGGGCTCACTCCTCTACTCTCATCTTCCTAGGCTCAGCCTCCTTGGACCCCATTGACTCAAACTCTAAGGAGTGAGTTAGCTGGACAGGATGGCACTCACCTGCAAACCCAGAACTTTTGAGATCAAGGCAGGAAGATTTTTAAAATGAAGATTTTAAAATAATAATCAACTTTTAGTTTTACTATTTTTTTTGTTTCTTCTGTTTTGTTTTGTTTTTTTTAAGAGCTATTCTCATGTAGTCCAGGCTGACCTCAAACTTTCTACATAGTTGAGTGTATTAGTCACTGTTCTGTTGCTGTGACAGAAACACTGACCCAAGCAATTTATAGAAGGAAGAGTTTATTTGAGCTTACGGTTCCAGGGGAATTACAGTCTGTCCTGGCAGGGAGGCATGGTGGCTGGAGGTGGCTGGAGCAGGAGCAGCAGAAGCTAAGCTCTCACATCATCACCCAGGCACAGGAAGCAAGAGAGCGACTGGAGCAAGACTTAAGAACTCTCTAAGCCCACCCCAGTGATGTGCTTCCTCCAGGACAGCCACACCTTCTAAAACCTCCCAAAACAGTGCCATCATCTGGGAACAAAATGTGCAAACACTTGGGGCCTATGGGGCACATTTTCATTCAAACCACCACAGTTGAGACTGGCCTTAAACTCCTGATCCTCCTGCCTCCATCTTCCAGAATTTACTATTTTTGAATTGTGGTAAAAGAGATATAATACAAAATTTCCATTTTAACCTCCCCTCTCCCTTTTTTCAAATAAGACGGGGTACAGCCTCAAACTCTGCCACTTATCTTTTAATTGTGTATATATATATATATCCCTTTATTCCCCTTTTTATTTTAAAAAATATTTTATTATTAGCCGGGCATGGTGGCACATGCCTTTAGTCCCAGCACTTGGGAGGCAGAGGCAGGCGGATCTTTGTGGGTTCAAGGCCAACCTGGTCTACATAGTGAGTTCAGGTCAGCTGGGACTACAGGGAGACCCTGTCTCAAAAAGACAAAAAAAAATTTTTTTATTATTTTTATTTTATGAGTATGTATTGTCTGCATGTATGTAAGTGCACCCATGTTGTGCAGTGCCCTCAGAGGTTAGAAGAGGGTGCTGGGTCCTCTGGAACTGGAGTTACAGGCTGTTGTTAGCCACCATGTGGGTGCTGGGATCTGAACCCGAGTCCTCTGCAGGAGTAGCCAGTGCTCTTAACTGCTGAACCGTCTCTCTCTAGCTCCCCACCCCCTTTCTTTTTCTTTCTTTTTTTTTTTTCTTTCTTGAGACAGAGACTCCCTGTAGCCCCAGCTGGCTTGGAACTCACTAAGCAGACCAGCCTGGGCTTGATCTGCCTGCCTCTGCCTCCTGGGTTTAAAGGTGTGCACCACCATACTCAATTCCCCCCACCTTTAAAAATATATTATTATTATTATAAATGTGTGTATTGCCTGCATGTGTGGAAGTACACCCATGTCGTGCAGTGCCCACGGAGGTCAGAAGAGGGTGTGGGATCCCCTAGAACTGGAGTTATGGGCAGCTGTTAGCCACCATGTGGGTGCTGGGATCTGAACCCAAGTCTTCTACAAGAACATTCAGTGTTCTTAACCGCTGAGCCATCTCTCCAGCCCACCCCCCACCTCTTTTTTTTTTTTTTTAAATAAGATGCCTCAAACTCTTGAACCTCCTGCTTTATTTAGTCTTCTAAGTGTCGAGATTGCAAGCATGTGCTGTCATGCCCAATTCAATTTAACTATTTTTTACCTTACAATTCAGACTAGAATTAAGTACATTTACAATGTTGGGGGCTACTACCCAGGCCCAGAACTTTTTTCATTCCAAACTGTATCCATTAAACAACTCCTTCCAGCTCCTAATAACCTCTGTTCTTTCTGTCTTTATGAATTTGCCTAACTAAATAGTTCAGGTAAGCATGGCTCTAGGATGCCTTGCACAGCAGCCTGGGAGTTCCTCCCCTTTCAAGGATCTCCATTCAGGTAAAGCTACTCTTGGGCTTTGCCACAGAGAAGAATTTCAGGACCAGCCAGTGTGAAGCTGGGGTTTATTACCCATTAAACAACTGCTTCAAATTTTTTAAATTCTGCTTTAAAATTTAAAAGACATTTTTAAGACTTGCCAGGCATGGGTGTGGACTTCTCCAGGGAAAGGCCCTTCATCTTATTCATGAGTCATATATAGAATTTTGTTGAGTTCTGAACTTGTTATCTTCAAAGAGTTGCTAAAGAAATTTAAATGAGATCATAAGTGGTTCCTGACAGGATTACAATAGATAAAACTCTAGGTCACTGGGATACAGGAAGTTAAACTAGCCTTACTTACGCTAAACAAAAGTTAATAGTCTTATTTGTGGGATTCCCAGAAAATATTTGAGAGAGGAAGCCGTAGCCAAGGTCACATATACTCAGGCCTTAAGCTGGACTTATCACCATTTTAACATTCTCCTTTGAAAATATTTCTATATAAAAGAAATATTGCCTCTATGTCAACAACCTTCACAGAAAATATTAATTCTACTGGAATCCTTGCTTCTCAGCTGGCAAGAGGCTCCAACTGGACTCCAGTAGAAGGAGGGGCTCCTTTCCCTCGCCATGTCCACTTAATTTCCCGTCTTCCTATTCTGTCTCGGGTTCTTTGTTTGTCCTTTTATATGTGGCTTGCTTCACAGCATAACGTCCCCGAGGTTCTTCTGTGCTGTAACGAATGTCAGAGCTCTGTTCAGTTTTTCTTACTGATAGTTCATTGTGTCTTTGCCACATCATCTTCTCCCTTCATCTGAGCATTGCTGTTCAAATTCTGTCTCAGTTTCTGTTCTCATCTCTTTTGGGCATATAGCTTAGGACTGTGATTTTGTTTAGCTTTTTTTTTTAATGTGTGAGTGTTTTGGCTGCATATATATTAAGTGCACTTATGTCCTGAAATGCTCACAGAGGCCAGGAGAGGGTATCTGATCCCCCGGAACTGAGCCACCACATGGGTATAGTACTGGGAACCGAAGGTCCTTTGCATGAGCAGCCAGTGCTCTTAACCACTGAGCCATCTCTCCATCTACTTGTTTAGCTTTTTCAGGAACCATCGAATTGTTTTCTGTAACGGCTACATGTGCTACATTCCCACCAACAATGCACCCAGGGTTCCAGTTTCCATTTCCAGGCCCAAAGCTTTCCCTTTATTTCTTTATTTATTAATTGTTACGTAATTTATTGGAGGAGGACTCACACTGTGGAGGGGAGAAGACAGTTTTAGGAGTCAGTTCTCTCCTTTGACCATGTGGATCATGGGTCCCAGGGATCAAACTTAGGTCATCAAACTTGTCAGCAGGCACCTTTACACACTGAGCCATCTTGCTGGCCCATCTGTTGGTTTAAATAATAATCACCTCAGTGGACATGAGGTGGCAGCTCACTGTGGTTATGATTCACCTTTCCCTAAAGACTAAAGCTGAGGGCTGTTTTGTGTGCTGCTTAGACATCTTATACCTTCTTTGGAGAAATGACTACTCAAACCTTTGCCTGGTTTTTGATTGTTTGCTTTTGGTTTTTGAGACAAGGTTTTACTTTATACCTCAGGCTAGACTTCTCAAAGTAATCCTCCTGCCTCAGCCTCCTAAGTGTTGGGGTTATAGGCATGAGCCACTCCTCCCTGTCCTTTGCCTACTTTGAATTGGTTGTTTTTGCTGTTGAATGACAGTTCTTTATAAAACCTAGGTAGGCCACTCTTCATTTGGGTTTTTTGTTTGTTTGTTTGTTTGTTTGTTTTGGGGGGTTTTGTGGGTTTTTTTTTTTTTTTTTGTGTTTTTTGAGACGTTTTGGTTGTTTTTTGAGACAGGCTCTCATGTAGCCCAGTCTGGCCTTGAACTTACTATGTATCTGAGAATGACCTTAACTTCCTGATCCTCCTGCCTCCACCACCTAAGTGCTAGAATATAGGTGTGTGCCACCTCACTCAGCTTGTGATCTTCTTTTCTGTGTTTTATTTGTTTTGCTTTGAAGACCTTGGGTTGGAGCCCAGTGTCCCCCACGTACTAGACCAGTACTTAGCTATTGAGCAACACATTCAGCCTCCTTAGTAATCTGTATCAGATATGGGATTTAAGTTTCTCCCATCCTGTGAGTGGTCTCTTCACTCTTGACAATGTTCTTTGATGTACAAATGTTGTCCACTGTGAAGAAGTCCAGTTTATCTTTCTGCCATATTGCCCATCTTTACTGATCCCTGCTTCCCCTCCTGCTCCTGTAACTGGGTTTCCCGGTGCCTCTCCTTTCTCCTTGGCTGCTTCTGCTCTGGCCTGGGTCTCCTTTGCTGGATCCTTGAACTGCCTGGGATTCTGTGACGGGCCATTTTCCCATGGTGGGCACAAACAGCTGGCCATCTGCAGGTGCGGACCTGAAGGAGCGGGAACAGATGAGTGCAGTGGAGGTGGGGGTCTTTGTCCAGCGGCTCCGAGGCCTGATGAGTGAGATCGGTGAGTGTCCGGGATTGGGGTGGAGGGCTGGGAGCCCCTGATGATACCCACTCCCACCCCAATTACCACCTCTCTTATTGTTTTGAGCTCAGTGGGGACTCAGATGACTCTCATGGGGCGGGGCACAAGGGATTACACAAAAGGGGAAGGGGTGGAGCTTCTCTTCATATATATATTCTTTTTTGAGACAGGGTCTCCAGGTAGTCCCAGCTGGCCTGGAGCTCATTATGTAGACCAGACTAGTCTTGAACTCACAGAGATTCCCCCTGCTTCTGGGATCAAAGGTGTGTGCCATCATGCCCAGCTTCCTTTATAATTTTTAAAAATTATTTTCTTGGGGCTGGAGAGATGGCTCAGCAGTTAAGAACACTGGCTGCTCAGTTCCCAGCACCCATATGATGGGTAACAACCATCACTTACTCCATTTCCAGAGGATCCAATGCTCTCTCCTGGCCTCCATGGGCATTGCATGACACAGATGCATTTACGTACATGCAGGCAAAACACTCATACACATAAAAATAAATTTTTAAAAATTATTTTCTAACAGGGTTCCCTACTGGACATCCCCCGCCATGCTGGGGTTATAGGCTTGCCCTCCTACTCCCAGCTTATAAAAGCTATTTCTACCAGAGAAGTAACCCTAGCTCTTAGCTGTTGTGCCCAATCCAGTGAGCCTTCTCTCTGACTTGAGTTCAAGGTCAGTAACTCCAGAGGAGTTACTTGCGCCAAACTTGTTTTCAGGCTGTTCCTATTGCTTGGAAAACCCTTCCCAGCAACTTGAACCTTTAGTCATCCTTCAAGGCCTACAGTGCTTCCTCTAGGAAGCCTTTCTGCTAAGTTCCCAGATTGTTATTGCCTGATACCATGTTTGACTTCCCCCTAAGGCTGAGCTTCATAGGGTAGGGCCTCTTCTTCTTCAGTTCTGTTCCCAGCACCAGCACCTAGGGCTTGGTACACAGGCAAGTCCCAGCGAGGTCAACCAGAGGGCAGATGTGCAGTGCCATTCATTCTACCTCCCGCTTCCCATTCCCCAGTGGGGCTCAGAACTTCCCCTGATGGGACACCAATTTCTCAGATAACCTGAGGAACTGTGTCAGGTACCCCATCCTGGTACCCAAAAGGCACTTTATGCCACCAGCCTTGGGTCTTTGTCTTGGTCCTGTTGGGCCTTGTAGGCTGAGCCGGTCTTATGTCCACAGCATCCTTCCCAGCACCCACCATTGCAGCCATGGACGGGTTTGCCTTGGGCGGGGGCCTGGAGCTTGCCTTGGCATGTGACCTCCGAGTAGCAGGTACTGGGCAGGGTCAAGTGGGAGGATGAGGAGGGGGAAGGTGATGGAAGCAGGGAGTCGGGTTTCTACAGTCAGCCACTGCTCTTGGCCTTACAACCAAGAGAGAAACTGAGGCAGGATACAAGACACGGAGGAAGGAGGCAAAGCTGCTTTGCCACATGGCTGTCATACCCGAGGCATGTGAGAACTGCTTCCTGCATGTGGGAATGGTTGTGCAAACCCTCTGAGCCATAGCTGGCAGTGAAGAGTCCGACCATCCAGGTCTGGCCAAGTCAGGTTCACCGAGTAGAGTAAAGGTGGTTTGTCACTGTCCCAGCTCATTGCAGAGTTGACTGGGCAGGAACACTGTGCCCTTTGGTCATGGCTCCAGCCAAGCTTGTTATGCAATTGAGCCTTCAGTGGGTGGTGGATGACAGTCACTTTTCAAGGTCACTGAATAGGTGGTTGGGAGAGCCCTTCTGACAGGCAGTAAGGTAGACTGAGTGCCATGGCTGTGCCCTTCCTCCCACCCATGCCTTCTTCCAACCCAGGAATATTTATGCATCTAGGCATGAAAGTAGTTTCTGTCTACACAGTGTCAAAGAGAGACTTGAGCAGGGACTAGGGTATTTTGCTCAGTGGTATTTTACCGAGCTTGAGGCTCTAGGTTCCATCCCTAGCACTTAAAAAAAAAGTTGGGTGAGGGTGTGACTACCCAGCAGCCAGGCACTGAAATTCCACAGCAGGTGACCACCCAGTTCTGCCTCTGACACTTGCCAGAGTTTCAGGCAGCTAACTCAGGGGTCTTGGGAAACACAGACAGAATGAAAAGCCCTTGCGGCCAGTGGTGCAGCACACTGTTCTGCTCACATTGCATGGGTCAGGTGACCTGTACTGAGAGAACTCAGCAGAGGGGCCTGGAAGCAGCCGTGTATGGTGTGTGTGTGAGTGTGTGTGTGTGTGTGTGTGTGTGTGTGTGTGTGTTTAAAAGCCATTCAGGAAGAACTTAGAAGGATGTGGTCTGGAAACCTCAGGGAAATTTCAGGCTGATACAACCTAGCAGGGATAACTGTGGGTACAGCAAGACCCATGGACACTATAGGCCAGGTCAGACCTGAGAGTCCAAGAGACAGAGAACCCTGTAATGTCAAGTGCTTGCTGTGCACCCTTTCCTTATCCCAGCACTGTCATTCCATTTGTTCCTTAGCCATTCTGACATGGGCGGAAAGGGCAGCCATGCTTTCCTGTGATGGAGGCTCAGCAAGGGAAGACTGGCTGTTAACGAACAACCATAGCAGCTGGGGTGGAGGGGACCAGTCTGGGCCTCCTGACCCCTAGGCTAGGGCTCTTCCAGAGGCAGAGTCTGGAGGTCTAGGTATAGCCTTATGAGGAAGTAGCTGCAAAAACAGAGCTATGGTCTCCCGGGGGACCATAATGGAGGGTGAGGATTGAGGGGAAGGCAACTTTATTCTGTTTTGCTTCAACAGCTTCCTCTGCTGTCATGGGACTGATTGAGACCACTCGAGGACTCCTCCCAGGGGCAGGTGACCTCCCCTGATTCTACTCTACGTCTGTCTGTCCTGCTTCCCACGTCCTGGGTCCTGGGATCGCCCCTACCATCCTAAGAACCACTAGCTCCTGGCCAGTCCCAGGCTGGGCTTCTCTGGATTTGCTCTTCTCAACCGTAATCGCTGCTCTCCCCACTCCATCCTGGCAGGAGGGACTCAGAGGCTGCCCCGCTGCCTGGGTGTGGCCCTGGCTAAGGAGCTTATCTTCACGGGCCGACGACTAAATGGGGTGCAGGCCCATGAGTTGGGCCTGGTGAATCATGCCGTGGCCCAGAATGAGGAGGGTGACGCTGCCTACCACCGAGCACTGGCGCTGGCCCAGGAGATCCTACCCCAGGTATGATGGCCGCAGGGGCCCAGGAGGGAGGGATGATGGGAGGCCCAGAGCACTAGGTGTTCCCTGGGGCTGTTCAAGATCTATATACCCAGAGACATAAAAGTGACCCTCAGCAGTTTCAGCATCTATTCTCTTTATCTAGTAAGTGAAACCAAAGCCAAATCTTAATTCTGAATTAAAATTAAAATGGAGTTCTGGACTGAAATCCAGTAAGCGTCAAGCAGTGCTCTCTAATAACTTCCTGAGATGATAGCCATTCTCCAGTGGCAGGGCCCAGTTATTTAAACTGGATGCAACAGTCCCTCACTCACACTAGACACCTTCCAAATGACATGTGATATTGCAAAGAACTGCCTTTAAGTGTCCCAAGGACTGCACTACATGGTGAAATGACATGTGATGTTGCAAAGGACTGCACTGCATGGTGAATTTCTTGAAACATTCAGGACATGTGGATTCATTTTTTAAAATTCCGTAAGGAAAGGACTAGGGGTTGGTAGAGGGGACTTTGTGCATGCTAGGCAAGCATTAGTCCCTGGTTACATAGTAAGTTCAAGGGTAGCATGTTAAGATTAGCCTCAGCTACCTGCATGAGTCCTACGGTCCTTCTCCAGCATTGGAGGAGGGAGAGGAATCCTCCAAAGTTTCTGGGGACAGTTTCTCACAAGGTTTAAATTGCTCACTGGGGAAGTTTAGGCCCTGTCCAGGAGCATCCCAAACTGCTTCAGTCCCTTTAGGCTACCAGGCTGGCTTGGGTCTCTAAGGCCTTGACATCTACTAGCTTCACAAAGAAGGCTGGAGCTGCAGGTGGGGTTGAGGCCCAAGTTTTCATGAAGGTATAAAACAATTGAATTATCAAGATCACCAAGTGATTGTAACAGCAGGTAAAAGATAATACTGAGCCAGGTGTAGTGGCACACGCCTTTAGTCCCAGCACTTGGGAGGCAGAGGCAGGCAGATCTCTGTGAGATTGAGGCCAGCCTGGTCTATGTAGTGAGTGCCAAGCTAGCTGGGGCTACAGGGAGACCCTATCTCAAAAATACTGAAAAAAAAAAAAAAAAAAGACAACACTGGTATCTTGACATTTATTTTATACAATGCAGAATGACAATAAAACATTTTTTTTTTGGACAGGGTCTCACTGTGTCCCCTGACTGGACTGGGACTCTCAGAGATCTGCTTGTCTCCGCCTCCTAAGTGCTGGGATTAAAGGTGTGCACCACCACACCCAGCCAAAACTTATTCTTTTAAAAACTGCAAAATATGGTGACTAGGTCTGTAAAGTGTTTGTCTCCTGAGTCTGAGGATCTGTGTTCATTCCCAGAACCCATGTAAAAATGCTAGGGGTAGCCAGGCATGGCGGCTTACACCTTTGATCCCAGCACTCGGGAGGCAGGGGCAGGTGGATCTCTCTGAGTTCAAGGCCAGTTCCTGGTCTACATAGTGAGTTCCAGGCCAGTTGGGGCTACAGGGAGACCCTGTCTCAAAAATAACAACAACAACAACAAAAAAAGCCAGGGGCAAGGTGCCCCAGGCCAGGCCAAGAGACCCTACTCAAAGAAAATGAATCAGCATTCCTGTGCTCTAGTCTCCACACACATGTACCCACCCACACAAAAACACAGGTGTGCATACATACAAACACACAGACACCTAGAAGACTGCAGAATTAATTTCAAAAACATTAAAAATATTACCAAATAGTCAAAGTAGGAACTTGTAAGATTATATTTATAGCCAGTTGTGTTGGCTGGCATGTGTAATCCTAGTACTCAGGAAGCAGAGGCAGGGGACTGCTTGAGTTCCAGTCCAGCTTAGGAGAGTGAGATCTTAACTACCTGCCCCAAAGTTATATGTGAAGCAGACATAAAAATTTGGGGCTTGGGGCTGGAGAGATGGCTCAGCAGTTAGGAACACTGGTTGTTCTTGCAGAAGACCCGGGTTCGAATCCCAGCACCCACATGACAGCTAACAACTGTCTGTAACTCCAGTCCCAGGAGATCCGACAGCTTTTTCTGATCTCCAGGGGCATGGCACGACACAGGTGCACTTACCTACATGCAGGCGATACACGCATACACATAAAATAAAAATAATAAAAAAAAATTGGGGGCTGAATAGACAGCTCAGTGGTTAAGAGTACTGGCTGCTCTTAGAGGGTTCAGCTTCCAGCACCCCAAAAAATTGGGGGCTGAAGAGACAGCTCAGTGTCAGTGGTTAAGAGTACTGGCTGCTCTTAGAGGGTTCAGCTTCCAGCACCCATGTGGCAGCTAATAACCATCCCTAACTCCTAACTCCAGTTCCAGGGAATCTGACACCCTTTTCTGGCCTCCACAGGCACTGCAGGACATGGACATACTTACATACTTGCAGTAAAAAAAAAAAAAAAAAAAAGAAAAAGAAGAAAAATTACTTATTTGGGGGAGGGGACAATGAAGAACAGTCTTCCCCCAGTCTCTTAAAACAATCCTAATCCAGTGTCAGGTGCTTTCTCTTCTCTAGGCCCCCATTGCTGTGCGGCTGGGCAAAGTGGCCATTGACCTTGGAATGGAGGTGAGATTCCACTGGGTCGGGACTTGCATCTTATCAGTGGGTCATGGGCTAGGATGCAGTACACCCCACACAACTAGAAAGAACTCGGAACTAGACTCTCCTAGCACTCCAGGAGCCTGACCTCTGTGTGCACCTCAATTTATTTCTCTATAAAATGGGAGGTGTGGGTGATACACTTGATTACACTCTAACTCCATCATTCCCGTGTGAAGAGCAAACAGGTAGGTGCAGAAGGGCAAGATCAGACAGGAAGTGATCAAGAAGGCAGGCCTGTGTGGCTCTCCACTCATGTTCCCGGCTTGTGCTGGTGGCTACCAACAAGGCCTCCAGTGCAGGGCGCAGGGCAATGCAGCATGTCCATCCCTAGACATCAGTTCACCTGTCAATTCCCTCTTCACAAACTGTACCAGATCCAAGAACAGAACTGAGATCTACACTTGTTAATGGTACCACTCAGCCAGTATGAAGGCTGGCTCCAGTGTTGGAGTGCTTGACTGGCCTGTGTGAGGCCCTGGCTTTAATCCTCAGCTCTGAAAAAATGGCTAGCCAGAAGGGACTATTGGTCACGTTTGATATTTGAAGGATAGCTACTTGACTAAAAACAAATGAAGACATAGGAGCACATACCTGCACCCCTGCCATTTGGGAGGTGGAGACAAGATGATGATTCCAGGGTGGGAGGAATAAAACTTTTCCCCTCACACTGATGAATAGTTAAGTAGCTACGTGCGGCTAGTGGCCTCTGTGCCGAACAGTGCCGAGTTAAAGGATGCTTGTTAGAGCTGAGGATTAGAGGCCAGGATGCTGGTACACACTGTAATCTCAGCACTTGATAGACTGAGGCAAGAGGATTGAGAGTTTGAGGCCAGCCTGGGCTTCCTCAAAAAATAAACAAAGGATCGGGGCTGTAGCTCAGTGCTAGAGCACTTGCCTCACATGCCTTACGGCCCTAGGTTCAATCCTAACTGCTGCCAAAACACGGAGGGGAAAAGGGCTTCAGAGAAAAGTACAGGCAGAGACGCAGAGGCAGGTAAACTGACGGCCTGACTGAGTGGGAACAAGACAGGACAACCTGGAAGGGAGGGGTATGGGTCCAAAGACCAGCTATTGGGTTTGCTGTTGTGATTGGGACCTTGGGTTACCCCACCTTTCTACCATGTCTCAAGACTTTCAACCCTTTAATGGATCAGAACCCTTATTTTAAAAAACTTAGAACAGTGCTTGCTGGTGCCAGTTCCTGCAATAGTGGGTGCCAAGCAGTAGAGGCTGGGAAAGTACCAGAGACTGGAGCCTCATTCCTAGGATGCCTGAGGCCACACAGGGGCAATTCTTTTTTTCCATTTTGTGTATAAGTATCTTGCCTGCATATCTATACATGCACCAGGTGCATGCAATGCCCATGGAGGCCAATGAGGGCATGGGAGCCCCTAGAACTGGAGTTAAGGATGGTTGTTAGCTGCCATGTGGATGCTGCAAACCAAACCCTGGTCCTCTGCAAGAGCAGCCAGTGCTCTTAACTGCTGAGTCAGCTCTCCAGCCCATTTTTTTAAGACAGGGTTGCCCTATAGCTCCAGCTGGTCGGGAACACACTTTGTAGACCAGGCTGGCCTCAATCTCACAGAAATCTGCCTCTGACAAAGGCGATTCTTAAGGTGACAGAAGGCATGGGCAGGCAACCAGGCAAAACAACAAAGGCTGACTCTCACAGTTCATGCTCCCAGTCCTCTGGAGGCAGGCAGTTCTCCTAAAGATCATGTCACCCTTCCCCCTTCTCACAGCATGCTTTTGTCACTGAGGTAAAGTCCAGGTTGGAATCCCCAGCAGACCAGAATAAGCAGGAGGATGGACTGGCTCCTGTGGGTGGGGTTGGACAAGCTTAGGCAGTTCCAGGGAGCCCTTCTTTCTTGCAGGTGGACATTGCAGCAGGGATGGCCATTGAAGGGATGTGCTACGCCCAGGTATGTGGCTACCAGTTGGGGTATGCTTGGTGGAGGCTAGGCTGATGTGGGGGAGCCCCATGCAGGGCAAGCCCAGTTGAAGTTTCTCCACGTGAGCAGTTCTAGGGTAAAGCCCCAAACTAGATGGTAACAGCAATCTAGATTGCTTGGTAGCCATCCTGCTTTGTTACCCACAGAACCAGAAACAGGTGCTTGACAAGGAGGAAGAATGGCTCTTGATGCCCCTATAACAGCTGCCTCTGTGGGGGCTAGGCTGGAATTATGGTACGAAGGCTTGGTTAGGGTTAGAGTACCCTGTAGAGAGGCTAAAAACATGAGTATGCTATTTAGCCTGACCTGGGGGAGGAGGCTAGTCTCCAGGATAACATAACCAAAATAATACCAAGCAAGAAGTGACTTTTGGAACAGAACTCACTGACAACCTACCATACACTAAGATCCAAAGCTGGGCCTCTTGCTACATAGCCTGAATTTACCTAGAACAGACTGTGCAGGAGGTAGTGAGCTCTGGGGAGGACAACAGTGATGGCACAGGTTGCAGAAGCTAGCCTTTCCGGAGTCAGAACAGCCACTGAGGGTTATGCCTTTGCCTGGCCCAGAGACAGTGGAGCCACTTGGAGCTGCATGCTATCATGGGCTGGATCCACTGAGGAGACTATCCTCTGACCCTCCTCTCCCCAAACTAATATCCTTTGTATCATTGCAGAACATCCCAACCCAGGACCGGCTGGAAGGCATGGTAGCCTTTAGGGAGAAACGACTCCCAAAATTTGTTGGCAAGTGACCCCACTTAACTTAAAGCATGGAGACATATGCCATAAAGGGCAGTATCCTAAGGGAAGGTTTGCAGGCTGGCTCTCCTTGCTTCATCCCGACTTCAGTTTCTTCACACAGATGATCATTATGATTGGCATGGTGCCTAGAATGAAGGTTCTGACCATACCACCCACTACCACCTTCCATTTCCTTATCCTGGCTAGCCACTGGGCTCAGGTCTACCCGGTTCTCTTAGATAAGTTCTGAGTCTGTGTCACTGGCTCTCAGGCTGTGAACTCTGCCTTCTAGTGACTGGAACTCACTAGGGAACAGCAAGAGGATATAAGAAGCCTTCATTTCTTCCTCTGCACAGAAAAATCCATCCAGGTTTGGGTGGAATAGGTATCGAGAGCTAGACCACAGATTCCAACTCTGCAGGTTTACTGGGCACTTGATTAAACCATTTAACCTCTCTAGGAGTCTGCATTTGTATCTCTAAATCAATCAGTTGTGATAACACTTTAAAAACCTCATGTTCAATAAATATGTTACAACTGTTAGTTCATGCTGGACTTGGGGGACCCGAGTGAACTCTGTAGGGTGGCAGGAAGATCTTCACCAATCTTCAGGAGCACTGAAAAAGGGCTGGCAAGTCTGAGGGGAGGGGTGGAGAAACGGGCAGGCAGCACAGTGATCTGGAGCCTAGAACACAACTAGGCAATTGAATTGGAATGAACAGAGGTGAGTGAGGGTGAGACACTTGGAAAATGAAGAGGGCAGAGGGCCAGCTGTTTACATGTCCTTGTATGCCTCAATGCCCGTGTCCTCTGTTCTACTGCCTAGGGGTCATCCTCTGTCCAGGACCAATCTTTGGCTAAGCTCAGTGCAGGCCTGGCCTGGTGTCATTGAAGCATGGGCTTGGGGCACACACTAGTCACGCTGCTTTGCTGACAAAGCACATACCAAACTTGTGCTTCTATCCTTGGTAACCCACAGGAGTCTAGGCCTTGGAATCAGTGCCATCCTCACAACCTCCCTGAACTTCCTTTTTCTCATCTGTTATGTGAGTAGAGGACCCCAGAAGCCTGCTGTGAGAGACAGAATTTGAAGGGGCGCCTGGTTGGATTACAACCAGTTTTGGCAACCAGAGTTGGACTGCACCAAATATTCCCACGACACACCCTCCCATTAGCAAAGGTTAGCATGAAGTAATACAGTGCTCCAAGGTGCTGGCAGCCTGGTCCAACAACAACAACAGGCCCGTTTGGGAATTGTGCAGTAGAATGTGAGGCAAACAGTACAGCTGGAGGAGTTGGGCACATGCTGTGTTCATGTAGAAAGACAGAGGACAGTAGTGGTTTGGTCACCCTTTTTTTGAAGCAGGGTTTCATGTAGCCACAACTGGCTTGAAATCTTTCTGCCCCCTTCTCCTAAGTGGTGGGACATGGTTTAGAATAGCTAAGAATAATTCTTTGTTTGAGTCTCATAGAGGGTATAAAGTACTCCAGTTAAGTCTGGACCAGCCAGGATGGTGGCATATGCACTTGGGAAGCAAAGGCAGGCAGATCTCTGGGAGATTGAGGCCAGCCAGTTTGGACCAAGCCAGCTAAAAGTATAAAGAGGAAAGAATCATCTTTGTTCCTTCAAAAATGTACAAGTATTTAATAGAAAGTCATGGAAGGAATCTATGCATTCCTCAGTGAGCTCTGAGGGACACAGAGGTGATTATCAATAGTTGAGGCGGTTCACAGAAAACCCTCTTTTTGTTCCACATTAGGAAGAGCACCCACTGAAATGCTATGCTGTCTTCTGGCCCTCCTTCCTGTTGGTTTTGGTCATAGCCTTACCAAACAGAGTAATTCCTAGGTGGTTTTTTTTCTCTGAACTCTCTAGTCTTTGCCAACTCCCCTCAATGGTCTAACTTGTCAAACTGCAGGAAAAAGGTAAACAAACAACCAAAACTGTAAACGAGTTTCCAGCGAGGTGCAGCAACACAAGCTGTAATCCCAGCCGAGACACAAGGACCACAGAGCTCGAGGCCACACAGTGAAGCCACAGCTCAAAAACAACTTTCTTTGCCTCGTCCTTCTACCTCTCAAATGACGAGTGTCCTGTTATAGGGCTGGAGAGATGAGCTGGCTCAGCGGTTAAGAGCACTGCCTACTCTTGCGGAGGACCTGGGTTCAACACCCACATGGCAGCTAATAGCTGTCCATAACTCCAGTTCCAGGGGATCCAACATCCACTTCTGTCCTCGGACACTGCATGCACAGGTGCACTTACATATAATGCAGGCAAAAGACAGTCGTACACATACATTTTTTAAGTGTTCTGTTACAAAACAACAAAAACATCAGTAGTTGCTCCCCATGAGCAGAGCCCTTCCCCTAACGGCCCTCAGGTGTGCGCTTCCACCCTGTTCTCTTCGTGCTCTTCTTTCCAGCACCACGTAACCTGGAGCAACTGAGGAAATGTGACCTAAGCACCAAAGTCTCTCTGAAGTCTTCTATCTGCTGGGTGAACAGGAAAAAAGAAACAAGAAAAAGGACCAACAGGCAGACAACAGGCCAACGCCAACAACCCAATTCGACATTCAGCTACCCATGGGACAAACCCTGTCCTTGAGCAGCGCCCCTGGGTTAAGAAGGGCGTCTGGCCTGGTGTGGTCTCAGGTAAGTCAGGAAGTGCATCCGGAAGTCCTCCAGGATGGAAGCGGACAGTTGCTGCACCCGTGCACTGGCCTGACCACATGCCTGGATGTCACACAGGAGCTGCAGTCCGCCCTCTTCCACCAACATTTTGCAGTATTTGCTGGCTAAAAGAAAAACAAAGAAGGGCTGGAGAGATGGCTCAGTGGTTAAGAGCGCTGGCTGCTCCTGCAGAGGACCTGGGCTTGGTTCTCAGCACCCACATGGCAACTAAAAACCATTCTTAACTCCAGTTCCAGGGGATTCAAAGTCCTCTTCTGGCCTCCACGGGCATTGCATGCATGTGGTACACTTACATATATTCAGGTGAAACACTCATACACATTAAAAAAAAAACCAACTCAGGTTAGGCGTGGTGGTGCACACCTTTAATCCTACAACTCAGAGGTGGAGGCAGGCAGGTCTCTGTGAGATTGAGGCCAACCTGGTTTACATAGTGACTCCAAGGACAGCTGTGGCTACAGAGAGACCCTCTCTCTCTCTCTCTCTCTCTCTCTCTCTCTCTCTCTCTCTCTCTCACACACACACACACACACACGCACACACGCACACAAACCAACAAACAAACCACATTTAAGAAGCAAGATGACACTGAAGTGTCTATTTTTGGCCCCACTGTAGGGTACAAGGTCTGGGAGAAGTCAAGCTAAGAATTCATACAGTTCCAAGTAGGTAGCTGGGTTTAGATTTATACTACCTGAATGTAGCTAAGAAATAAGAAAACTGACTAAGCCTAAGGAAGCCTCTGAATACTTCACAGAAGCAAACCTGAAACTATTCTGAAGGGACATATTACCCAGTCTGAGTCACTGAGAAGCCTCAGCGTGCAAGGGTGCTGGCCTCCAAACCGGACATTCTGAGTTTCACTGCTGGGACCCATATGATGGGCAAAGAACACTGACTGCTCCAAGTTGTCCTCTGACCTCCACAGGTACACCATGGTATGCATGCAACCATTCACACACAAAAGGGATAAATACATGTAATTTTAAAATATTTAATAGATTCTTGGGCTGGCAAGACAGCTTAGTGGGTTAAGGAGCTTGCCACCAAGACTGAGACCTGAGTTTGATCCCCAGGACCCAGATAGTAAAAGGAGAGAAAGGACTCCTGCAAGTAGTCGTCTGTCCCCCACATGCACACTATGGTATGTGCATATGTGTGTGGTATGTTCTCTCTCTCCCTCTCTCTCTCCCTCTTCTGGCCTCTGCAGCTACTGAATGCGCATGGAGCACTTACATGCATGCAGGCAAAACACTCTTACACATAAGATAATTTTTAACTAGACCAGAAAAAAATCCAGAAAGGATTAAGTAGGCTGCTTATTATTAGGGAAAATATAGACTACCTAATAGGTTGTGTTAGGGCAAAACATCAATCTAGGACACATATATTCAACTCCTACTTCAAATTGTATACCAAAACCCAAAATCTGTGTAAGAAAATCTAACAGTTTATAATTGAAATGTAACAATGAGCTGAACTCTAAAAAATGATGAACAACATCAGACAATAAATTCGGAAAGACGTTAACAACATATACCAAAAAAACGTAATATGTAAAGAGTCCCTTCAAACAAGCAAGACAAAATCAAAAGGTAGAATTAGTAGTTGATGCACAGACAAGAAAACCAAGAAAAGTCCTCGTGGGGAAAAATAACTAATGACCTTGAGTTATATAGTAAATGTTAACTGAGATGATCGCTTCTGCCTTAGACTGCAAAGATCGCAAAGTTCTTTACAAGACTGAGGGAAACGGGGGCTGAAGTACATGTTGCCAAGCCTGTAAAAGGTTGCACAAGGTTCTAGGTTAAATCCCTAGGAACAAGAAAAACAAGCCAACAAACAAAAACATAAAATGTAGGGCAGGGGCTGGAGAGATGGGTCAGTGGTTAAGAACACTGGTTGTTCTTGCAGAAGACCCGGGTTCAAATCCCAGCACCCACGGGGCAGCTAACAACTGTCCCTAACTCCAGTCCAAGGGGATCCAACAGCCTCTTCTGACCTCCATGGGCACTGCACGACACGGGTGCACTTATCCACATGCAGGCAATACACGCATACACATAAAACAAAAATAATAAATTTTTTAAAAATTGTAGGGCAACTGGCAGACTCATATTACTGATGGGAATGCATGTTAGTAACTAACTCTGAGAACTGAGCAACATCTGTCAGAATTACAAGATGTTTGAGGCTGAAGAGATGGCTCAGTAGTTAAGAACACTTGCTGTCCTTCCAGAGGACCTGGGTTCAATTCCCAGCACCCACATGGTGGCTAACAACCGTCTGTAACTCCAGTTCCAAGGGATCTGATGATCTCTTCTGGCCTCTGCAGTCTTTGCACAACACAGGTACACTTACAGACATACAGGCAAGATACTCAAACATAAAAAATAATAAAAAATGAACTACAGATGTTCAGACCCTTCTATAAGGATTCTGCATGGTAGCCCACACTGTTGCAGAATGAGATTTATTTTATCAGTCTGATGTGCTATGAAAGTTCTGAAACCATCTACACACATGGTACTCGCTGCTGCACCATCAGCCAAGCACTGCTCTAAATGCTTCAAGTACCAACCAGCTTTACAAACACTGAACAATCTGATTCTCACAAGAACCCAGTAAAATAAAGACTATGATCTCCTTTCACAGCTCAGGAAACTGCACAGAGAGGCTGAGTGACTTGAGCCAGTTCAGCTGGTAAACACAAGACACTGGGAAGAAGCCCGGGTAGGTGGTGTGGTTCTGGGGTCTGTTTTAATTACTATGCTGTGGCCAATGTACTACAACTCTTTTTCTACTCGTATAATAGGCAAAGACCAGAACAGTGCCCCTGCAAAAGAGACATCTCATGAACTGTTCTGTGTAGTGAAGAAACACAGAGCAGTGGAATACAGCTCTACCTGCAGACCGCTACATCAGAGCATTTTTCTCTGGCAATTGTCTTAACCGTGGGCAAGTTACCTCACTGTCCCTCAGTTTCCCCATTTCTGGTTCCCCATTTGTTCCCAAAACTCACATGGCAACTCACATCTGTCTGTAACACCAGTTCCAGGGGATCTGACACCCTCTTCTGGCCTCCACAGGCACCAGGCATGCACTTGGGGCACACATACACATGCAGGCAAAACACTCATACAACATACAAAATAATTTTGTCTTTTTGAGACAGAGTCTTCCTGTAGCCCCAGCTGGCCTGGAACTTCTTATGTAGACCAGGCTGGCCTTGAACTCACATCCACCTGCCTCTGCCGCCAGAGCGCTGGGATTAAGGCATGTGCCACCACCCCCAGCTAAAATTTTTTTTTGTAAAAAAAGAAAAAATTTTGGGAGGCAGAGGCAGGCGGATCTTTGTGAGTTTAAGGCCAGCCTGGTCAACATAGCAAGTTCTAGGGTCGCTAGGGCTACTGGGAGATCCTGTCTCAAAAAGACAAAAGGAAAAAGGGAAGGAAAAGGATGAAAAGGGAAGAAGAGAGACGGTGGTGGGGGATAGATCTGGCTATGCAGCCAAGGCTGGCCTCAAGTTCCCTTGTCTCCTAAGTATTAGGGTTATATATGTACCACCACACCCAGCAAAAGCAAACGTTTATGACAGAATAGATGAGATCTGGTGGGCAGGCTATGGGGGGGTGCAGATGGGGAGGGGGCTTAAGGTATGTTATATGAAATGCACAAAAATTCAATAAAAATATATACTGAAAAAGTAACAATCCTGAACAGAGGACATAGATCAAAATTTCTTAAAGAGAGAAGAGGATTCAGTGGTAAAGCACCCGCCTAACATGCACAAGGCCCTGGGTCTGATTCCCCAACACCACCAAAAATAAAAAAATTCTCAAACAAGAATTAAAACACAAATCATTTAAAAATGCTGGAGAGATGGTTCAGTGGTTAAGAGCACTGGCTGCTCTTGCAGAGGACCTGGGTTCGATTCCCAGCACTCACATGGTGGCTACAAACCGTCCTTAACTCCAGTTCCAGAGGAATCGAAGCCCTCTTCTGACCTCTGCGGCATTGCATGACATGGGTGCACTCACATACATGCAGGCAATACACTCGTACACATAAAATAAAAATAATAAAATATTTTAAAATGCCACAGTGGGGCTAGAGAGATGGCTCAGCAGTTAAGAGCACTGGCTGCTCTCCCACAGGACCTGATTCAGTTCCCAGCACCCACATGGCAGCTAATAACCATCTATAACTCCAGTTCCAGAGAATCTGATACCCTCTTCTGTCCTCTGTGGGTGCTGCATGACATGGATGCACTTACATACATGCAAGCAATACAGTCATTCATATAAAATAAAAATAAATTACATAAAAAGTAAATTAAAATGCCACAATGAAACCCAATATTGTGTATACTAATTTAAAATATTTTTAAATTTATTTTATGTGTATGCGTGTTTTGTATGCATGTGTTAAGTACATCATGGGCATGCAATGCTCACACTGGCCAGAAGAGGGCATCAGATTCCCTGGAACTGGAATTACATATGGTTGTGAGTTACCATGTAGATACTGGGAACTGAACCTGGTCCTTTTAAGCACAGACAGTGCAAATGCTCTTAACTGCTGAGCCCTCTCTCTAGCCCCTAATTTAAAACTTTTAAGGGGAGGTGGGATTTAATCAACAAAACATATAAAAATATACTCAGCCTGACTGCTGACTGCTCACTTTCCGACTTCCCACAGACCACTACAAGAAGGCAGATCTATTACTGCCTCCTTGTTACTATTAAGAGTACTAGTGCTAAGTGATGAATGAAAAGAGTAAGCTGTAAGCTAGAATGAACAGAATGAGCCCGATTTTGTTAAAAACATTTACAAAGATCACACGCTAAATATAAAATAGATGCAAAAGCCACTAGAGACATAGCTCTGTGGGAGAATCCTGTCGAGCATGTCTAAGGCCCTGAATTCAACCCTTGTCACCTAAAAAGAGAAAAGAGGAAAAGAAGAGCCAGCAGGATAGCCAGGACAACTGACCAGGACAGCAGGCCTGTAGAGACCAGGAGCCAGGATGTCTATGCTGACAGTTACCCAACTCCCCAATGCAGTAGGAGTTCTGTAGCTTCTTAAAACCTCCCCTTTAGTCAGGTATGGTGGTGCACACCTTTAATCCCAGCACTCAGGAGGCAGAGGCACCTGGATTTCTGAGATCCAGGCCAACCTGGTCCACATAGTAAGTTCCAGGCCAATTGGGGCTACAGGGACCCTATCTCAAAAACAACAACAACAACAACAACAAACCCAATATACATAAACAAAAAAATAAAAAAAAATAAACCTCCCCTTTAACAAGGGTTAAACTGAGAAGACACAGATGAACAATTTTCTCTTTTTGTTAAATTCAGTATGTTGTGTGAGTCTGCACGTGTGTGTGTAGAGGTGGGGACTACTTTCAGGAGTCAATTTTCTGCTTCCATTGTGGGGTTCAGGCAGTGAACTTACATTGTCAAGCTGGTACACCATTGCTTTTACCTACTGGGCCATCTTGTTGGCCCCAGATGAACACCTCCTTAAAAAATCAATCTTGAGGGGCTTGAGAAATGGCTCAGTGGTTAAGAGCACTGACTGCTTTTGCAGAGGACCTGGATTACATTCCCAGCACCACACAACGGCTATGAACCGTCCTTAACTCCAGTTCCAAGGGGAATCCAAAGCCCTTTTCTGACCTCCATGGCATTGCATGACACAGGTGCACTCACATAGATGCAGGCAATACACTCATACACATAAAATAAAAATAATAAAATTTTAATAATGTTATATACAACAAACCTATAGTGAGCATCATGTTAAATGGAGAAAATTCACAGTATTCCCACTAAGATCAGGAACAAGATAAGACTGCTCACTCTCTCCACTCCTATTCAAGAGAGTGCTTGATGTCTTAGCGTGGACCACTGGTGGGCATGTGTCATCAAGAAATCATTATTATTACATTGTATACACTTGAAAACAGCTATTCTGGAAGAAAGGAGGAAAGGAAGGAAAGGAGAAAGAGGAACCGTTTAATTTTCACTAAAATTGAAATGGCTCATCCTAAGTGGACCACAACTGTGGTGCAAAAAGTGCAGAAGAGATGGGCAGGAAGAGGCAGGCTGGATGACGTGGACATTCCAGAAATGGCAGGGTAAGTATATTAGATTTGGTGATGTGGAAAGGGGGTTGTTCAAAGGAGAAAAATGTCACCAATGTACAGGCTATTTAGAAGAATCAGCCAGGCGTGTTGGCGCACACTTTTAATCCCAGCACTTGGGAGGCAGAGACAGGTGGATTTCTGTGAGACTGAGACCAGCCTAGTCTACACAGCGAGTTCCAGGCCAACCGGAGCTACAGGGAGATCTTGCCTCAACCAAACAAAACAAACACAAACAAAAAAACCCCAAAAGAAACAAGAGACCCCAGCATTCTGTGGCAAACACATTCACCGTCTCAGTTCATTGTGAACTGAAAGCTTGCACACTGTCAGCCTCCTTCAATGAGGAAAACTGAGTCTTAGAGCTTTCCTTAGAATTTGCCACAGAGCAACAACAGGATGTGGGCTAGCTGACACTCATTCTCACTCTATCATTAGAGTCCACAAAAGACAGGCCTTGGGCTCTACATTAGCTCTACACTACTATGAAATTACCTGTAGGTCACCAACGCTGACATCTTACAACTTGAACTTGGCCAATTCCGGATGGCTACATGCTATACTCCAAACGAGAAAAGGGAGAGAGAGACAAGTCTAGCATTATGCTGTATTGTTTAATTCTATTATTTAAAAATAATCACAACAGGCTATTTCATGTTATTTATAACTATACATATTTGAAACAAATTTTGAAAATATGAGAATGATTAAACATACACCAAGTAGATACCCATTAGCTATCAATTAGATACCTATTACATATGCAGAATTTATGAAAAAGTTCATGTGGAAAAAATGCAATCAAGAACTGGGATGATGGGGCTGGAGAGATGGCTCAGCAGTTAAGAACACTGGTTGTTCTTGTGTAAGACCCAGGTTCGAATCCCAGCACCCACATGGCAGCTAACAACCATCCCTAACTCCAGTCCCAAGGGATCCGACAGCCTCCTCTGACCTTCTGACCTCCAAGGGCACTGCACGACACAGATGCACTTACCTACATGCTGGCAATACACACATACACATAAAATTAACAGAGGCAGGTGGATCTCTGTGAGTTCAAGGCCAGCCTGGTCTACATAGTGAGTCCCAGGACAGCTGGGGCTACAGAGAGACCCTGTCTCAAAAGACCAAAAAAAAAATTAAAATAATAAATAAAATTAGGGGCTGGAGAGATGGCTTAGTGGTTAAGAGCACTGACTGCTCTTGGCAGAGGATCCCGGTTTAAGTCCCAGAATCCACAATACGGCTACAAACCGTGCTTAACTCCAGTTCCAGGGGAATCTGAAGCCTTTTTCTGACCTCCGAGGCATTGCATGACACTGGTGCACTCACATACATGCAGGCAATACACTCATACATATAAAATAAAAGTAATAAAATAAAAAAATTAAAAATTATTTTAAAGTTTGAAAAAAAAAACTGGGATGTAGCGAGGGAGAGGGAGAAATCAAGGTTGGACTAAACTGGAAACTCCCTGCCACTGGATGGGTAGCTTCTGTGGTGCCAAAAGGCAACATGCAGATGACTGGGGGAGAATTATCCCCTATAATTCTCCTCAACAACAGACCCCATGTGTTGCACTATCAATATACCAAACAAGATGTTCCTGCTGGTGCACAGTGGAGTGTCTACTGTATGGACAACCGGCAAATTTTCAATTGGCTATAATGCTTGCTCCTGGGGTGGAACACACATCTGGTACTGTAGACCCAGTCAACCCCCTGTGGCAGGGGAGAATATAGGCCTCAGTGGGAAGTCACTGCAATGGTTTCGTTAGATGGAAATAATGCACCTGCTAAAGTACCGACCAAGCATTTGTGTTTACACCATAGGTTAGGTTATTACAGCAGTCACTGTTTAGATGCTCTTGTTTCTTGCAGTGTTTTTATAGTAGATGGAATCCCACTCAAACTAGTCAACAGGCCATGGAAAAAAAGATGATGCAAAGACCCAAAAGTTCAGCGCCTTGCCACAACAAGAGGAAGATCATCCCACACCTACCACCTCCTCCAAGGCTCAAGGACTTCTGTGGAAGAGGTTGGTGGAATGTAAGAGTCAGAGGAAGGGGTAGAGTGTTAACTGGAAGTGTCCTCCGACCACTATGCCAGCAAGCTATAGTCACACCTCCTTCCCATGTTCATCGAAGAGTCAAGGAGGGAGTCAATTGCCCCTCACACCCAATCAGTTGACCTTAGCTGCATGTGGGGGGAGGGGCAGAGGATATATAAGCCGAGAACACCAAGAGGCACCTCTCTCACAATTTTGTGCGGGTTTCAGAAGGTCACAGGATCTGGATTTGAGTGTGGACTTTACGGCACACTGTAAATGTGGGGTGCCCATTCTTCTGTAAATAAAACCTGACCCTATGCGCTGTTAAAAAAAATAGTAACATTTTAAAAAATCAAAATTAAAAAAAAAAGCACTGGGGTGTAAAGCAAAGTGGAAGACCCTTTACCTAGCTCAGAGACCGAGTTCCATCAGTGCCAGGGGTAGCACACAAAAGGATAAAGCAAGGGAAAGGCTTCCTTTTAATTGTAATTTTTTAATATTTATTATTTCTATTTTATGTGTAGGAGTGTTTTTCCTGCATGTATTTAAGTGCACTCATGTACTGCAATGCCTGTGGAGACCAGAATAGGGCATTGGATCCCCTGGGAGTGGAGTTACTGACAGTTGTTATGTGGGTGCTGGGAACTGAACTGCAAGAGCAGTCAGTGCTCTTAACTGCTGAGCCATTTCTCTAGCCACCCCAAAACCTCTTTATGAAGGCAGTGGTCTGAGCTTTTCATTTATATACCTTCCTTAATTGCCATTAACAAAATAGTAAACGTGGTCTAAGAAACAAACCCAGAAAACAGTCAGTGGAGAAGTCACTGATTTGGCAGATGTGGTACTAGGAAAGGTTTAAAAGAGCATGACTGGAACTCAGCACTTGGAAGGCTAAGGGAGGAGGATCACGACAAGTGTGAAGCCAGCTTGGGCTAGAGTGAGTCTTGCCTCAAGAAAAAAAACAAAAACACATACCCGGAAGTTGGATGAAAGGGTTAAATGATCAAGACCCCCTGATCTCCTCTGCTACCCTTATAAGAAAAGTCTGAACTGGGCAACCTGAGAAAAATTAAGGGTGGGGGCATCACACTAAAAAGCTGGGAGATCTCAATGCTAAAGGTTAAGGTGGCCCTATCCCTGCCCTCTTCTTTCACTGGGTTTTTCAGTGCCTGGCAGGAAAGCTCAGAGTTTCCATGCAGCCTAAAAGCAGATTATTCTCCATGCAAACTCCATCCAAAGCTAGGCCCAGGCCCAGACACAGGCACAGCCACAGGCACGTCAGACACAGACACAGGCACAGGCACATCAGACACAGATAGATATACACATTAAATTTTTAAAGGCTGAAAAGGACAAAGAGTCAGGGAAGGCCAACACGCTAGAAAAAGAAGGGGAAACAGAGGGGAGGGAAGGGTTAAAAAAATGGCCAGGGAGATGCTCAGCAGGTCAAAGTACCTGCCACCAAGCCTCACAACTTGAGTTTGAGCCCCACATGGTGGAAGGAGAGAATCCACTCCTACAAGCTGTCCTTGAATCTCCATGGTCCCAACACTCCTTAAATAAATAAATGTAATTTTAAAAAATTCTCAGAAGGAGCTTCCAGAATGATAAATACTGGGTATGTTACATGAAAAACTACATCAAAGAGCATGGCTGTGATTTTTGAATGCTGAGAGCACAGGTCTTAAAGCTTAAAAAAATCTGCACCTGACTGCCCAGCAGCCACATTGACAAGCAAAAGACACCAGGGCAGAGACTATGACTTCTGAGGGACGTAGCTCAGAGCTAAAATAAACACAGTTCTTTGACCAATTAAATGTTACGGTCTTGCATTCTTCTTAAGAAGTTACTGAAAGGGCATAAAAGAAAATGAATTGGCAGCCAGACATGGTGGCCATGCCTGGGAGGCAGAGGCAGGCGCATCAGACGGATCTCTGTTCTGTGAGTTCCAGGCCAGCTGGGACTACAGGGAGACCCAATCTCCAAAAGACCCCCCCCAAAAAAAAAGAAAAAAGAAAAGAAAAAGAAAATGAGTTGGCGGGATGGCTCAGTGGTTAAGAGTGTGCAGGGCACAGTAGTGGTACAATGCCTTTAATTCCAGCACTCAGGATGTAGAGGCAAGAGGATTTCTATGAGTTCAGGACCAGCCTGATCTACAGAGAGTTCCAGGCCAGCCAGCCAGGGCTACAGAGTAAGACCCTGTTGAAAAGAAGACATAAGAAGTCAAAAGAAGAGCACAGTTTGCTACTAAGGCATGAAAGCCATGTCAAAGGAACCTGGTGGCTCGTTTTTAATGGTGATTTACTACGTCACCTGAACTGTGTTCAAGCTGGCAGTCCTCCTGCTCAGCACTGAGTGCCTGAGATTATAGGTGTGCATCATAAGTGTGCACCATCTCACCTGGCCCAAAAGAAATAGCTCTAAAGATCTGAAAGCAGGAAAGCTAATCATAATATGTCAAACACAACTGTTTTGCACATGGAACTTTTCCTCTTTATGTCTATGTGCAGTGTTTGTGTGGGTCTGTGCACATGTATGTAAAGGTGTGCATGTGTGTGTATGCATGGAGGCAAGGCTCTGCTCTAGGGTTACAGAGGGGCCTAACCTTGCCAGCTTTTACGTGGATGCTGGGGGTCTGAACTCATGTCCTGATGCTTGGACAACAGGCACTTCACCAACGGAGCCATCTCCCCGACCTCTGCATGTGTAACAGAAACTTAGCAGATTAGCATTAAGTGGAAGAACAGCGATGATTCCAATCCCATCATTCTATTTTCCTTATCATTGACAATGATTGCAAATTTCTAAAACGCATGCTCAAGAAAAACACGTTATCTAAGGGAAGAAAGCACTCCAGGTTTTGGAAAGGGAAACCATTCCTGTACCAAGTGCTGGAGAAGAGTGTTCCTCTGCCATTCACAGAACAGCCCGTTCTGTCTGTTCCATGTCAGGTAGGCTATGACACCTGCGGCAAAATAGCTCACTTCTATGTTGCTGCTGTGGAGCAAAGTGAGGATATGTTTCATCAAATCTTCTGTCACCAGCTGGGGAGAGAGCTCTCTGACTTCAGCTATGTTGTTCTACAGGGCAGAGGGAGCACAGCACATCAGGAGAGGGAAGAGCTAGGGCCCTCCTTACTGCTCACCTGAGATACAGCCCCAGCCCTGCCCTCTTGACTTAGCCTAGCAGCCAAATCCCACCCCTTCAGGTTGAGCATGGTCACTCACAGCAAATCACCAACTGAGTAAGCACTTACTAAGTGCTAGGCACAGTACAACAAAAGCAAAGATGGCTTTATCTGCATCATCTCTCACTCAGTTTAAAATAATCCCACAAAGGGATGGCGACTCTCTCTAATCTCCGCTTGACCACATCAACTGCTTCGGCTGACGTTCACATACAGAGCCTGAGAAATCACTAGAAGAGTAGCACTTGCCCTCCACTGTGACCCTGAGCTGCTTCAAGACACAAGGCTCAGTAGATTGAGAGCCCCAACTATGAGATGCCAGTCAGGGTCTTGTGTGTAGCCCAGCCTCAAACTTATTGTTTCTCTGGTTAGGGTTATAGGCGTGGGCTGCAGCATCTAACACACAGCCATTACTCTGTAGTTTGCTCGTAGCAACAGAAAATGTGCAAGTAACTTCTTTATCAGATCATAATAAAGATGAAACGAGTTTACGCATCTAGCTGCTTCCAACAGTGCCTAGCACATAGTAGACATTAAGTGTTAGTTTTCATTCAAATTAACCCAAAACAATTGACCTTACCAAAAGACCAAGTACTTTGCTTTGTATCATAGACTCTGAAAAAGTCTGTCAAAAAAACATACAGTTTACTTTATCATGAAGACAAGAACTTTATATCTAAATTTAATCCCATCTTCCCACCTCTAAGACTTGGATGAAGATTGCCAATCCTTCATTTTCAACCAGCTGCTTGCAGACCATTGGAGACATGTCTGAAAGGTTCCAAAGTGCTTTCAGAGCAAACAAGAGGGTAACGTCGTTTAACCTCTCGTTAGTCTTTCGTCTTACTAATGTTAGAAGTTCCTAAAAATCAAAGTGACATGCAGTTAGAGGGCCTCATGACTGACTTATGCCTCCATAAGGAAAGAGAAAAGCTCTGGAACTGGGGGCTCAGATGTAGCTCGGTTGATAGAGTGCATGCCTAGCATATATGAAGCCTTTCGGTTCAATCTCGTCTGAGCTACATGAGACCTCTTTTAGAGGACCTGGGTTCGAGTCCTAGCACACACATGGTGGCTAACAACTGTCTATAACTCCAGTTCCAGGAGATCCAAGGCCCTCTTCTGACTTCTGTGGACATTGCACGACACAGGTGCACTTACTTACATGCAGGCAATATACTCGTACACATAAAACACAAATAATAAACTATCTTATTTTTTTTAATTTTTTAAAATTTCGTAAGTGCACCCCTGTGATGCAGTGCCTGTGGAGGTCAGAAGGAGGAGTTGGATTATCCTAGAAGTGGAGTTACAGATGGCTGTTAGCCACTGTGTGGGTGCTAAGAATCAAACCCTGGTCCTTTCCAAGAGCAGTTAGTGCTCTTAACCGCTGAGCCATCTCTCTAGCCCCAGTACACACCTCAGTAAGTGCAAAATGAAACATTTTTTAAGCTGCATTCATAAATTTCTTTGATCTTTGTTTAAGGTTAAGGGTTGAGGATGTAGCTCAGTGGCGGATCATTTGGCAGGCCATGACTTCCATCCTATGAATGGTGGGTGGGCTGCTTACCTTAATTCCCATGACCAGTTCTTCTTGAAGCTGCAGAATCTGCTCAGGTAAGAGCTGAAAGCAAATAGAAAGCCCAAGTGAAAGGCCCAAGCTCCCCAAGGATAGGAAGGCAAAATCGTGACTTTGGCCCAAAGCTACCTGCAGGGCCAGGATGGAGGTGATGCTCACTGCCACGGTTTGCATGTTGGGGCTCTCATGCTTACATACCCACTTCAGAACAATCTTTGCAGCATCAAACCTGAAAGGCAGAATTTATTTTTCTCAATTACGAAAGCCTCAAAACTGTACATGACCAAAAAAATTTTTTTTTTATTCTCCTCCAAAAAATCCTATAGCAGAAATAATTTTCAAGGGGAAGGGTTCATAAGGCCCCACCCTCCCTGAGAATCTATGCAGCTCATGGCTGAGACAGAGGGAGAAATATTTTCTTCAGTGGTTTGGACACTGCTAAGTTGCCCATGCTCTGGCAAATAACCCCTTATCCATGTTCCTCTAAGTAATCCTAATTAAACTAACTGATTAAAAAATAGGGGAGGGGATCTAAATACTATCAAATTATATTGTATGAAAATCACACACACACACACACACACACACACACACACACACACACACAAGACATGAGCCAGGCATGGTGTCCACACATCTTTAGTTCCAGCACTTAGGAGGCAGAGGCAGGCAGATCTCAGAGAGCAGGGCCAACTTGGTCTACATAGCGAGTTCCAGGTCAGCTGCTGCTACCGGGAGACCCTGTCAAGAAAGAAGAGGGGGGCAGACGTGCAGGTAGAAGGGAAACAAGTGGGAAGAGGAAGGAAATCAGAGAGGGAAGGGAACAAGAGACGGTCACAGAGGTGAATATGAGCAAAACACATTATATAGACATATGAAAATATAGTGAAATCTACTATTGTATATAATATATGCTAAGAGAAAACGATAAAATAGGGACTGGAGAGATGGCTCAGCCACTAAAAGCACTGGCTGCTCTTGAAGAGGACCTGGGTTCGACTCCCAGCACTCACATGGCAGCTAACAACCATACATAATTCGAGTTTCAGGGGCTCTGATGCCCTCTTCTGACCTCCTCCAGCACTGCATGACATGGGTACACCTACCTAATGCAGGCTATACATAGTAAAAATAATAAAATATGTAAAAAAAGAAAATGTTAAAAGTAAAAATTTCAATTTCTAAAGCCTCAATGATGTAAGCAAGAATGTTCCAGAGAACACAGGAGGAAAGCATGTAAGAACATGAGCACAACACATAGGATTGGCAGAGCCAAGAAAAAGTTCTCTTTTTAGCATTCTGTGCTTCAGTGGGTCTGAAAAAGCAAGTTGTCCCCAAAGAGACAGTAATGTGCAATCTGAATTGAAGACAGGCCCCAAATGCCATAGCATGCATGTGTGCTGCCCTGGCTCAGCTGTCAATCTGTACCCATGCGCTCAGACACAGAGGGTAGGCCTCATTCTTCTGCCTCTTTGCAACAACCTTCAAATGTTTTCAAATACGTAAGTTCAGAGCACTACAAAAGGCCTCAGGAGAAATTGTCCAGGATGATGACTGCTATATCATTTGGCCTCTTACCCTGAACACTTTCCTCAGCCCTAGCCAGGTCTCTGCTACACTAATAACCAAAGGCCAGCACTGGCCAGAACTCCAGTCAGATTACAAAGTTCTATCTCTACTTGCCTGTCGAATGGAACATCCCCAAGAATCCTGGAATTGGCTAGAGAAATAAGGCAATTCTTCTGTAACTTTAGGGAACAGAGGAAAATATATGTGAGCAAATTAACACTGGATTCTGAAAGCAGGTTAAAACAATAGGATGGCATTATCAACCAGCTGTTCTTATTGAGAGCTCGCTCTGTACCTAATACTCCCAAGGTTGTAACTGAATCCTACAACTGACTGTTGCCAAGCAGGAATAAGAACCAAATTGGACAAGATCTTCCAACTTTTCAAAATAGGTAGAATTAGGGCCGGAGGGCTCAGCAGTTAAGAGCACTTGCTGCGCTCATAAAGTACCGGGGTTCAGTTCCCAGCACCCACACTGCACCTCACAACATCCAGTTCCAAGGATCTGACGCCCTCTTCTGGCCTCCACAGGCACCCTGCATGCACATGGTGCACCCACACACATGCAGGTAAACATTCATATACATAAAATAAAAAGGAATCAGGTTGCCCACTCTTTTGGCACATTTGCTCAGCAAATGCTTCCGAGATTCACCCACGTGACATGTACCAGTACTTTCCTTCTATCTGTGTCAAACAGGACTCAAGTATACAAACATAATTGACATATCTACTCATCTGTTGAGGCACTTGGATCATTCCAATTTTGGTGATTATGAATTAAGGTACTATGAGCATTCATGTTTATGTTTTTTGTTTGTGTTATGTATGTTCTCTGTGTGATGACTTCAGGCATCTTCCTTTATTGCAGTCTGCCACTTTTCTTTTCTATGTTT